TCTTGACCTGCTTATCATTAACCTGGTCCAATGAACGAACACTCAACAAACCTGTATCCTTTTCTTGATGAGCTTATAGGAGGATGGTAAACAATTTTATTCGGCTAACGTTCCGACGTCTTCATCTTCATCAGAGCCGACGATTCGAGTCGATAGTCCACTATTCTTCTTGGTCTCGATGTGGCGCCTTCGCCTTCGTTTAGTCCGATCTTTTTCAATGGAGCATCGCTTGAATGAGACAATCTTAACCTTTTTATTTACTGCCTATTCTTTTTAACAGCAGGGTATTTGCGAAATATAACTACTATAATGCTGAGATGTTTGCAAAACTCGAGACTGCAGGTGTATGCGGTGGGAAACGAACGCGCTACTATACTTTGCGGGGAGAAACGCGTTCACCACCACACCATGCGGGTCCTTCGTTTCGCCTGTCTCTCAGCTTGTTCTATCGATCTCTACGATCAGCAATGATACGTCAGCGGGATTGATTTGGCGAGCCCGCATAGTGTGGTGGTGAACGCGTTACTCCCCAGAAACGACAATAGCGCGTTTGTTCCCCACTGCAGACACCTCTGGTCCGGAGTTTTGCAAATATCTCAGCATTATAGTAGTTATATTTCGCAAATACCCTGCCGTTAAAAGGAATAGGCAATAAATAAAAAAGGTTAAGTTTTGTGTACTTTCCTAAATCATCATATTTCATTCCCATTCCATCGTCATCATCATTTATTGGACTGGGTGTTTTCTCTTCATGTTGCTTACTTATTTAATTACTTAGAAGGCTTAGCTTCACATGTTTGCATTGCATAGAACGCTTCCTTCGTTCGATTCGCTGTGCTGCAACTGTTACCCATAGAATTCCTCAGTGTGGATTCAGCTGCGGCTTATTGATCGGTTGTTTTCTCTCCCGATAGAATATACTGTTGATGATTGGGTGCCGTTTTCCACCAGCCGTACTACAGCGTTCCCAGACCTCCGTTGTTGTAAGTACAGACCAGAGATTTACCAGCATATTCCTTGCGAGTAGGATTCTTCCAGGACGGCAGCGATTCTTGTAATCGCGCGATCTCTGCAATTACCCAAGTGAATCCCGATTTTTCTTTTAGTCCTTTCGTTAAGTTTTTCCGCGAAATTATTCGGAACAATCGATCTTAATCGTGTTCTTCTTATTTTCTGCGACAGTCGCAGCTTTTTTGCATCAAACCAGCACTCTTGGGACGTTTGACGTACAGTGAGTAGACGACGACAGTAATGGAATCATTTAGCTCTTCTTATCATTTCAAACAGCCAGTTTCCGTTTTGTCACACCTACTGTGTGGATCCCAACACTTCTCGTATTTGATCCGTTTCCTAGCAATTATCATCCACGAAGCTCTTCCAGCTTTTTAAGTGTGACTTCCGTTGCTGCTCGAGGATCTTTTCAACATGAATGTCGTTGTATGCAGGTCGTCGATCCTCCCTGGAGTCCTGAGATAGCCGGGCTACAGCGTTCCCATTCAGATTGGAGACAAAAAACTTCTTTTAGACAGGCCCGGTAGCAATTTCCCAGCCCCGGATTGATGGGAGGCCTGGTGAGTTTGGAGAGGGCTCGAACCAACATCGTTATCGTGATGGTTGGAATGACTACCACTGTACTACGCGTCCACTCGAATAGCCATTTAGACAATGAATACAATAGACAATGAAATGCTAAACAGCAAGTGCGCCAAGTAGTACTATAATGTTCTATACTGGAACTGATCGATCGACCATCACTTGATATTGATAACTGGCGTTCCAGAGCTGTTCGTTTGAGAGTTCGTAGATAATCAATCAATAGCTATAGATGCTACCGCGCAGCTTTCGTGTTCACTAAACACGCAGACGGATTCCCATCCCAGATTCATATGCCACATCCATATTACATCGTTCTAGTTGAAAGTTTCGAAAAGTACGAAAGAGTTCGTCGTCTGAAAGGTCGTTCGTTTTTTTTCACATTTTCTCATCACAGTTGTTTTTACAACATTCACATTTTTTTCTCGAGCAGACAACAATGCCGAGGTCAGTAGAAAGTCGGTCCTGGGAACCTGTATTTTTCATGTGGTGATCCATCACATTTCTTACGACAATATCCTTCTCTATAACAAGGCGTCGGATGGCTATTAAGTCGCATTTTAAGCTTTCTACCCAAAGATCTAGGTACATAAGTGACGATGTGCAGACTTATCCAATGCGGAAGCTGCTTATCCTTGATCATCAAAAAACCTCTGAATTCAGGGATATTGATTTCTTATAGGCATTACAGATACGATGTCATCGATATCTTAACCGAAATCCTCCTGGAATGTCAACAGATTCTCACTGAGCAGACGACGATCGTAGAGTTTTGTTTTGTTCGAAGACATCGAGCGATATTTCATCGCAGACGTCGTATTGAAGAATGTGTTGAGTCATTTTAATCTCGATCATTGATATGTCTAGTCATCATTTTTTTTCCTTTCTGTTTTTTCTTCACAACTGAGTCATCTTGGAATTCGTGACCAGCTAAACCTATGTTCAACAGTTTCTCACGAATGCTGAAAAGTCGTCGAAAAGGCACTTGTGGCGCAGTGGTCGGAGGCGCCCTACAATATCCATAGAATCGGGTCCGCGACCCTAGCCCACCAAGCCCTCTATCCCCCGATGTCAGCAAATTGGTACCAGACTTGTCTAGGAGGAAAGCAGCACTGGTTCGATACATCGGTAGGAAACTGCGAGTTACTGAAAAGTTACTATGCGATAGTTTCTATTCAAAGTACATCTACTTCGTTATGACCTCTACTCATTCTTTCGAAATCAGTCATAGGAAGGCTCAGACCAAGGAATTAGTGCATTAAAACAAAAAGGGTAAAATAAAGGATAAAGGATAAAGCTCTCGGCGTTGATCAATCCCTGAGGGATCCGCCATGCAATAGACTTCACCAAGCGTCTTTTAGAGGTGATTGAATGCATATCTGGCCTTTACAATGACTCGCTGTGACCTACCGATGTGTCGAACCAGTGCTGCTATCCTTCCAAACAAGTCTGGTACCAATCTGGCGACCCCGGAGTTATGGAAGGGTTAGTGAGCCACGGGCGTGGGAATCGATTCCATGTGTGTCGCAGTAGCGCTACCAACCACTGCGCCACAAAAAAAGAAATTCTTCCAAAAAGTGATCGCCTCAAATACTTAGTCTAAAGCTAAGCTTAAGCCTAAGCCTAAGCCTAAACCTAAACCTGAACCTTATTGGTGAGTGTTCTGCTTACCAAATGGTTTAGTGATGGTTTGACAGAGAATTTTTTCTAATGAATCCTTTTACTTGTTGATAGATCGTATTCAGTACTTTTAAATCGTAACAATTATACAAAATGTCGAAGAGAAAACATTTTATGATGAAAGTTCGATGCAAGCGGTTTCACCAGCGCTCAGATTTTTAATTGGAGCGCGTTTACTACACCGTCTTAGCAATTCTTCTCATCAGCGGGACGTTTTCGCATCGTGTTATCCAAATTTTCTTCCATAGAACTGCTGTCATATAGTGACCTTTCCTCCTTTCTCGTACTCCTTTCCTTTTCTCTTCTGTACAGCTCTTGTTGTTGATTTGTTTTGTCTATACCGAAAACTCAACAGCTAGGCGCGAACTACAACTACTTTAAAGAAGAAAGAAGAATTTTATACTTTGCAGATCAACTCTGAAGTGATATTTATGTCCGAGAAGAGTTTACGAAGATACCAGTGAGCTAGCGCAGTGGTCGGAGGCGCCACTGCGGCACAAACGTGAGATCGATTCGCGTGCCCATCGCCCAACAAGCTTTCCATCCCTGCGAGGTCGGCAAATTGGTACGAGTCTTGTCTGGGAGTATAGCAGCACTGGTTCAATACATCGGTAGGCTACTGAGAGTCATTGTGAAGGCCAGCCATATATGGATTCGTTTACCTCCAGCGATGCTTAACATCGTCAGAGGTGACTGAATGCATATCTGGCCTGTACAATAACTCGCGGTGGCCTACCGGTTTATCGAGTCAGTGCTGCCATCCTTCCAAAAAAGTCGAATGCGTGGCGCATCTCTCAGGAATTGATCAACGCCGAGAGAGTGATTTTCCACCCCAATCTTCAGATCAGATGTTCGAGTGTGCTCCTGAATAGCTCTGCAGTATTGATGTCACGACCCTTGCTGAGCTGTTCTGCTTACAGTGATGATGTCGTAATGATGTTGTTGAACATCTCATATTGAATCCTTGTCTACTAAGTAGGGATTTGCAGTTGTTCAAGACCGTTCTGATGGTCATATCCGTCTCAGCAGAACACTGAAGAATAAAGTGAATAGTTAAAACTATAGTTATAAATATATACTGCTCTTTTTCTTGCAGGTCTTTTAAAGGAGCTTTAGCAGATTTTCGTTTTTGTGTTACTTCGTCGGTACAAGTTCTATCCTTAAGTGTCTTTGTATTTGGCGTTGCTTTAGGTTTTCCGATTTTTACGCTTGTGTTACTCTCGCTCTCCTGTTTATAATTTCGATCTCAGGTAGAAATGGTCAGGATTCTGATAATGTTGCTTCCGCTAGTGATTTGTGAGAAAGAACGTGAATCAGACGGTGCTGCTGCTCGAATTCTTCGTCATCAAGGAACAGGCGAAGATAGTCACCATGCTGATCACCAAGCCGTACTTGGTAACTCTTCCTTGTTAACTTTTTATTTACCGCCTATTACATTTTTTCACGGCAGGGTATTATTCGAAATACAACCACAATGACGATGAAATATTTGCAAAACTCCGGATCGTAGGCGTGGGCTGTGGGGAACGAACGCGCTATTACCCTTTTCGGGGCTAACACGTTCACTACCGCACCTTACGGATCCTTCGTTTCGCCTGTCTCTCAGTCTTCCTTTTATTGAATTTTCGGCGAGAATCTAGTTATTTTGAAACTTTTTGTTAGGGGAAGTATTGATACATGATATGACTTATGTAGGCTCACGCAAAACTGCTGATGAGTTCGATGAGATGCCTGTTGAGGAGTCAAAGAAACGATTGGAAGTTCTAGCTCGTAAAATGGATGTGAATGGTGATGGTTTTGTGGGTGAGTGAGAGGATTTCGGCTGTTCGAAATACACCTTCTTGCAGAATTCATTTTGAAGAAGTTTTCTTTGTAATTTCCAGGACCAACTTTCTGCTAACCTCGACAGTGATCAATAATTCGCCGTTTTTTAAGAAGTACATACGAAGTTGTTATAACACTCTTTATTCACAAAAGATTTTTCGGAGAATTTCGCCTTTTTCAGAGCCGTTTTCTGTGTGTCTTTAACTGAGTATTCCATATGGAGATCATAGAAAGCGGCTCTGAAAAAGGCGAAATCGGCCAAAACGTCAGCTTTCATGAATACCTACTTACATGAATACTTGGCTGGTCCGTCCTCATTGGTGCCCCAGAATGATATCCATTTTTTCGGAGTTTGGCCGGCATAGCTGTTGTGGTTCTTTGAAGACCCAAGGTCAGTCTAGACATAGTCTACCCTAGGTCGTCACCACCCCAAGCAATCGTCACCCTTGTGGATCGGAGGGAGATTTGCCACGGTGCGACTAGTTTGATACCAGGGCGATGGTGGATCCTGTTATTGATTTACTCTTCCCTGGGCTTCTTGATGGAAACGCCGGAGTCCTTAGCTCGAGGGACCGTGCTGTGATGGTGAATCCCTCCGCTGTACATCGCAGCCGGACACCCAGAAACACCTCCCAGCCACGACGAGGTGTTAAACCGTCAAGAGGCTTTTGTGGGTAAAGAGTGGGAGTAACAACGACGTGTGTGCTTTTCAAGAAAACGACTTTTCTTTGTTTTTAATGAACCTCCGATGTTTAGTTTACCTAGAGTTGTTGGAGGAACAGATATTCATAGAACCAACTAGATGTTTGTGAAGCAAATTAGTCTTTGCTTAAAGTACATATGTCCATTAAATACACTTTGGCGGTAGAGGGGTTCTTTGCTTTTTTTCTCAATGCAGACATTTTTCATTTCTGATGCGAGATTCTGATCCGATATTTGCTTTTATCGCCTCATCACTATTCTCCATTCAATGGGACTTTCATTTCAATAGCCTTACGCATTCCTGAGTGATGTTTTTCATTCCGTTTTGCGTCGTTCTTTGTAAGAACGGTTGAGAAATGGTAATTAAAAACAAACGATATTAGACTGTGACCTGTACCATTCCTCACTTATTTGATGTTGGGTTAGGCATTAGGCAGAGAGTTTTTCTATGAAAACTCAAGGTTAAAACTCTTTGTTTCTGCTGCATTTATGGCCGTCTTCTATAGGAACAACACGATTTTTCGTTGACCAGGGACCTACTTTTTTATATTTCTTTCTTCTTCCTTCATACAAAACATCCGATCAAAGGAAGGTCGCAACATATCGCAGTATACAAACACTGTTCTACTAGATACAACACCTTGATCGGCATATATGTCTTGTGGTGCAGTGGTTGGAGGCGCCACTGCAACACGGACGTGGAGTCGATCCCCACTCCCATGGTCCCCAAGCCCTCGATCCCTCCGAAGTCGGCAGATTGCTACCAGACTTGTCTGGGAGGATAGCAGTACTGGCTCGATACATCGGTAGGCCACGGCGAGTCATTGTAAAGGTCAGTTATGCATTCATTCACCTCCCACGATGCTTAATGAAGGTGGATTCAAGGCGTATCCTTCAGAGATTGATCAATGCCGAGGTTTTTAGCTTTTACAGTTTATGTGACGATTCATGCGTACCCGAAAAACGCAGTCCATATTTGAGTCGATCATTAACGATCATGATGTATTGTTCTGGTCGTTTTGCAAATAGTGACGTTTACGAATATTTTCCGCAGCTGTATCTACCGCTCGTTGACGTGTTCAACAAGCATGTTCACCAGTTAATCCAGGGGTGGCTTTCTCGCTATGGGGATCTATACTAAGATTCTTCTCTTCTATCATTCATAACTGTTATTATCACATGACCAGCCCACAAATGTTTGATTTTCGATGTTTTATTGAAGCATTTTGAACACAACTCGTTCACAAGGTATGTGTATGGCATATTTGTGAAAACTACAGTTCTCAAAAACGTTCTGCAAGTGATGTATGGAGTAGTTGAAATGTCAGTCCATGTTTCACCTGCATAGTAGAGCGTTGGTACGATTTCTGAGTTAAACAGGTAAGGGCGGCGTTCTGAGTCTGTCAGGTGGCACCTTTGAGAAGCTCTGAAGTGCTCAGCGCTGCTTTTCGACATTTGTCCAACACCACTTTGATCTCGTCTTTGATGACTAGTGAATACTGCAGGTACACAAATTGTGCTCTGTATAATTAAAGAACCATCCGTGTTCTATCATACTACTTTTTTATGCACTGAGTTTTTCTCCAAGTTTGTGTGCAATATTATTTTTTCCTAACTCGTTGAGCTCTTTGAGCGTCGCCTCGACTTCATGATTGTCAAAAAGATGTCTTCAGTAAGATATTCGCTCCTTGATCAGCGGGTACTAATGGAATGGCATTAGTTTCGTTACTATCGAATGTTTTCATAGTCGATAAAACTTAGAAAAAGTAAGAGTCGGGTACTATTCTGTGAACTTTTATGATACTAACCGTCGTTTTTGTTGCTGAACAGATGTAAAAATGCGAAGATGGCGGGCATTGTTCGTGGGCATGAATATTTTACTGCATTTTTACTATCAACAGTGCAAGAAGTGTGGTTCATAGTTTATACACGAAGTAGTATACAAGTATAAGTATGCAAATAAATAGTACCAATATCATCTGTGTTGTTTTCCAGCTTCGAGGCCGTCGTCCTTCCATGCTCTGGGTAGCAGTTCGAATTTCAGATAGAAGGAATAAGATTGGTCCCTCCTCCATAGAGATTTTGCGATCTGTTACGGTGATTATAGAAGGGAAAAACCTTGAGTAAAGCTATTACGTTATCAATTCAACGGCCTTGTGCCCGGAGGTGATGGTCATTCTGTCTTTATTCGGAAGAGTGGATAATGAGAATACTCGCCAAAGTCCCATTGACATTTTTTTTTAGAATAGTTCTTTCTGGGCTGTCTTCTGGCAGTTTTTTTTTCTGGTTTCGTAGGTGTACGACCTCCAGCAAGAATCTTCTGAATCTCACATCTACCGGCTAGGTTAGTTGTGTTGTTTGCTGGTCTAATTGCGGTTCCTATCCTTGCTAGTAATCCCTATGTGGTAGTGTAGATACGATCCAGACATTTTGATTGAGAAACTGGAGCATATTCGCTGTTTAAATTTTTTCTCTTTCGAAGACTTTATCCCTTTTAATCCCACTTTGATCCTATTCGAAATATTCTCCTATTGCACTTCCTGTTTTTTCCTTCATGAACGGTGGTAGTTCATCTTCATTTTGTTGCTGAATCGATCATTCACGAGGAAAAGAAAACGATATGGTGGAAAGAAGAGCAGCGGAGTGAAACTACGTCAGTGTCTAGAACATGTCTTTTCTGTTGGTGACAATGTTTGGAATAATGCCATAGGGTCTAATAGTTAATGTCATCCGAGGTTAATAAGAAAGCATAAAAATTAGCGTCAGAAGAGCTTATCATGGAGTTGTGGGAGCAAAGTTAGAAGCAGTCTGTCTTTCATATTGTGGATGTATCGTTTTGATACGATACGATTCCAATGATTGGTTATTCTCATCTCGTCATCACAGCTGGTCAGTGGACCTTTTGTCTGTTGGCGAATGGCCTATCAGCTTGCGATTGAATGTTTTTTTGGACGGTAGCAAATAAAGTGCCTAGATAGGTGACTGGTCGAACGCTATATAAGAAGTCTTTTCGAACAAGTTCTTTCACAACACAGTCAAGCGAACCGTATAGCCTAGCCTTTGACTAGCATTAGCATTAGCTAAGGAGCTTCGTAGCTCACTGTTTCGAATGGGGACTTTGGAAAAACGTCGACATTCTAATCTTTCTTGCAAACTCAGGAAAGCTTTATGTTCTTTGCGAATCGGTCTGGGGTAGAATCTATAGGATATATCTTCGTCTGATTGGTTATTGCTATTGATTTTGCACTTCTGCTTTATCTATTGTCAAATTCTTCTCTGGTATTGGTGACATGGGATGAATTGCTATAATTATTTATCACCACTTCTTTATTTTCGTTTTATTACATTCCAGTCTTTCCTAATTTCTTACGAATTTTTAAACTCTCTTAAGTTCTCCGGTGCTCCTGCTGTTTTCTTTCCTTCCTTCATTTTATGTCTTTGTGAAGTTGTGCTATGTTGTATATTTATTTCGACAAATTGGTTAGAAAGTGATTCCGTAGAAGTGGTGGCATCCTTAGCTTTATAGACGACTTCGTTTAGATGAATCCGAATTGACTAGTTGGGTAGAGCGATCGATGGTGTCATTGGACAATGAAGAAGTCACTGAACGACTGACTGAAATGGATGCAAATGGCGATAAAATGGTACGAAAATCTTGTTTTCATTCGTGTTTTCTCGTTAATAAGCGTTGCTAAGCAAAATGTATCAGATTTTCGAGCGGTATTGCTTTACAAAAGGGTGCGTGTGGCGCAGTAGTCGGAGGAGCCCTGCAATACACATGGGATCGTTCCCCGCTCCCGTGGCTCACCAGACCCACCATCTCTCTGGCGTCGGCAAATTGGCACCATATTCGTCTGGGAGGATAGCAACACTGGCTTGATACATCCGTATACTACCGCGAGTCATTGTAAAAGCCAGATATGCATTCAATCACCTCCAAGGTGCTTAATGAAGTCGAATGCATGGCGCATCCCTGAGGGATTGATCAAAGCCAAGAGATTTATTTCTTGTCCTTTTATTGATCTACAGTTGGGTCGAAGAAATTTTGATTTGCACCGGTGTTTTGATGGCATGAACTTCTAATAGTAGCTTGTTTTTTGTTTAATGGAAACACCAATACGTTCGTTCAGGTATCGTGGGAAGAGTACTTAGCGGATTCGTTTCCTGATCGAGACATCAAGGATCTTGACGCTGATGATAGGAAGTTGATGAACGAAGACGAATTATATTTTAAAGGTTATCGGTCGTCTTCTTGATTTCCATTTCGCAACTAAATGGCCGTATCTTCACCTTTGCATGGACCAACTTTTTTATTAAACATCAACTTTTTCTACCTGCAGTACTTTCTCAATTTCCTTACAGCTGCCGATTTGGATGGTGACGGTAAACTGAATATGGTGGAGTTGAGTGCTTTTTTGAATCCGGAGAATTACAAACATATGCACAAGATATTGGTCGAGGTTGGAATTGTTCATTAGTACCAAATATAGTAGGGAGATATCCTGTGTTGTAACAAGGCCGGTTTGTACTATTATCCATCGTGTAAGGTTCTTTATTCAATTTATGCGTAGGAGTGACAGTAATTCTGGGAATTTCGTTAGCTATAAATGCTTCTCCGCTATTTTCTATGCGTTATTTCCAATGAATTTCAAGTGGACTGCAGCAATTTCATCTACCTTATGGAATCGAACTATAATGATTTGTTCAGATAACGATGTCGGAAAAGGATTTGAACAAAGATGGAGCGATCGATCTGAAAGAATTTCTTGGAGAAATGGCTGATAATGATCATAGCGAATGGCACGCTGTTGAGTCGAATAGGTACGTTTTGTCCTTGTTCAGGAAATGTATTAGTGAAACAGTTGGGAAAGTGTCAAAGAGAATATTTTAAAAGCCGAAAAGGGTTTACGAATTCATATGACCTACTGTCTTTTAAGAGAAGTGAACCTAATTGGTTGGTCTCATATCTCCCTCTCTCCCTCTTGCTTTCTAAGACTTTCTTGTTAAGCTTGCTCTCTTACGTATGGCCTTTTTGTGTAAACTCTTAATGAACTGAGAAATAGCAAGCGTTTCTTGTTCTTCGTGGATGGTTTTGCTGCAAGTCAGTTGGAACAGGACGTGTTGAAAGTTTGTCTAGCAAATACGGAGGTGTTCTGAGTAAATTAATTTAGATGTTCTTGGCTATTATTGATTTAAAGGACTTACTCTGGACCTTGAGGGTGTAGGCGATTTCTAGTTTCTGTCGTGAATACGTCGATGGGGTGATGTATCGTAGAAGTTTGAGCGAATACTACACCAAATGCTAATAATGATGGTTGATTGTGCGAACTGCTTACAGCCTTAAGTGCATCTTGGAGTTTCTGAAGGAAGAAGGAGAAAATTCTTAACAACGAGGAGCAATATTACAGGGAATAGGAAGAAGGAAATAAAATCTTTTACTTCCGATAATACGTTCTTTTACTGTAAACGAGGAAGTTGGCTCCCAATTGCTCCATTTCCTCAGTAATCTCAAATCCCATTTGCTAGTTGTAAAGAATCTGCAAGAAGTGAAATGATGTGTAATACCAGCTCGTTTTATGCGTTCAGAACAATGTCCAGTGTCGGCTTCGAGACACGTGAATGCTCAAAAGTCGTTGCATTTCACTTTCATCTTTTGAAGTCCGAATTACGCACAATACCTTGTATTTTCTTTTTTTTAGACTCACTGATTCTTACTGGGCGAATGATTGTGTCATACTTACTTCGTATTCTCTGCAGATTCATGACAGAATATGATTCCGATGGTGATGGTGTGTTGCGTGGTGAAGAAGTACGACGTTGGATGATTCCGGATGTTAAAGTGGTAGCAAAACAAGAAGCGACACATCTCATTAATGGTGCTGACGTTGATAAGGTTAGAGGCATCAAGTGGTTATTTGTGTACTTATTGTTTACCAGCCCTTACAACAGTTTTTGTTTACTTGCCTAACAACTTTTTTTATCGCGCTCTCCAAGTTGGGTTATGCTCTATGTTCTGTAGTGTTTTGAAGTACATTCGGTATTTTTTCCAAAACCTATTTTTCCTTTTCCATCGTATGTGTGAGGCGTTTTCAAATATCCATTTGCAATGCACAGTGAAGGACTTGCCCCCATCGTTATCAGGTCTCATAAACTGGCAAGTGGCTCTACATTTCCATTTGGAACTAGGATCGTAAATAAACTAATACTAGGAATAGCAGCCATTGTTGATGAAAGGTAATTACGAAGTGGCATGCCTTATCCCTTCAGCATGGTTAAGCGACCATCTGTGGTGACGGAACGCCTTTTAACAAGTTTGAGGGATAGCCAGACCAAAATCGCGAAACCAAAAACGCAGCATTAGAGGAAAATTTTGCTGGTACCTGCATGCCTATTGAAAGCAGACCTTTAAAGTAATTATATGTCTAGCTCTAGTCTATTGGACTCCCCAGATCAATCCGGTTGACGGGCGAGTGCTGATAGTACTGGTAGGTACAAAACTAGCTGAAAAAAAAAGGAAAATGAAAGACTCGCATGGTGTGGTGGTAAACACGTTATCCCCCGGAAAGAGTAACAGCGCGTTCGTTGCTCACCACAGACACCTGCGGTCCGGAGTTTTGCAAATATCTCAGCATCATTGCAGTTAAATGTCTAGTATTTATCTGATATGCGTTGTAAGAGGTGCGTTTAACGCAGTAGTTGGAGGAGTCCTGCTGTACACATGGGATCGATCTCCGTGCCTCAGGCCCACCAAGCCCTCCATCCCTTCGGAGTCGGAAAATTGTACCAGACTTGTCTGGGAAGATAGCAGAACTGGCTCGATGCATCAGTACACCACCACGAGTCATTGTAAGGGCCAGATATACATCCAAACAATGCTAAATGAATTCGAATGCATGGCGCATCCCTCAAGGATTGATCAACGTCGACGGCTTTATCTTTATCCAACTTTATTCGATGTAGACAGGGAATGAGCACTAGTGTTGCTCACACTCACTGGTTTTGCAACTAGCTTCGATCATTCTTCTTTTCCACCATTTTCTAGAAACAGCGTTCTTTTCTTAACTGCGTCTGATTCCATCAACATCATTCTGGTCAGGCTTCTAGACATACATGTTTTTGTTTGAAGGACGGAAAGCTGTCGATTACTGAAATAGTCGACGCCCATCAGCTATTCGTTGGATCAGAAGCCACCAACTATGGTGAAGAATTACGAAAAGTGTCACATACTGAACTTTGAATCTTAGGTGTTATGTATCTTCTCTCTTGCTCGTTCTAGTATCTTTTCACTTTTTACTTTAGTGAAAATCTCAGTAGCCTTTATTTGTCAATGCGTTCACAATACTGTATACGAAAAGCGAAAATCGGACCAATGATCTCGTGTTATAGTTTGACAGCCACCGAATCCTGTACTTGGTCACCGCTGACTATAACCCATAACTAAAATATGCAATGATGCCATCTTGCTAACCGTTTTCGCCTTTTGTGCCAAGTATCGCAAGCATGTAGTATCGAATAGCTAACTGTCTTCTCATCGGATTGTTCTTTCTAGAGTTTGAAACTCAGCATAATTACAGCTAAACAGACAGTTTACGGTACTAGAAGTACTAAACTCTTTTAAACACCCTCTCCTTTCAACTCTCAATTCTTGACTACATCGTATTCCGTTCGAATTTTTGCCTCTCAAAATCGACACATTGATCTGAACGTGGTAACGCCAACGATACACTCGTAAGATTTTTCTCACTTTCTTTTTTTTCATTTTTCGGTATGTGTTTTATTTATGCGGAACTTAGTCGGTAGTAATTTTGCATGTGCTTCTACTTCTTGCTCGTTCTCAGTTCATGATTTCCGTGAATGACAAATGTTCTGTCATACTCGACTATCACACCGACAGTTATATTCATTTCTAGTATTTCTTCATGCTTTGCTTTTATGCAGATTGTCAATAATATTTTAGTTCAGGTTTTCCGTAATAAGAGTTTGATTCGAAGTTGTTTTGAAGAGCTATGCGTTTTGAGGGTTCATCATAGTTCCAGGGGCAAGTAATATTTTCTTAGACTATTAGACTAGCATTAGGTTGTTACGGATGTTTCAGCATGTTGTCCAACAATAATTGGAAGGAAAATTTTAGCGCTAAACGGCTGCTTAAGACATGGAAAGGACAACCATTTGAAGAAAGTAGTCAGTATCAGTGATGGTCAGACACTCATTTGCTTGACGATTAAATGTGGCTACTAACGCTTTTATTTGCTTCACGAGTAATATAATAGCATAATTAAGCATTCGATTTTTGAATCCACAAACAATTTCTGTAGTGATTTCGATAAAAGAATTCTTTTAGTATTGAACACGCAGCTGAGGTGTGGGTTGGCATACCAGTCTCTTCCCGAGCTCAGTATCGGATCCAGTGTTAACTTAGTGAACCCAATGAACCCAGTGTAGTATACATCTACAATAAAACATGACAACATTAGTCGTAAAGAGGTATCGAGAATAAGTAGAAAAGACGGTGGAATGGCTCATAAAAATGTCAAAGGAATTCTGATTATGTTACTCTCGTAAATTCAATAATACAGGTTATCTATTAATGAGAGTATATGCAGAAATATTTTTAAATACTATATAGGTTGAAGTCTTAGTCATCTTTACAAGAAGAACAGGAACTTAAAGTCAGAGGTGGAATAGAGGCTGCAACGGTCCACTATGAAGGTCGGTAACGTATTTGCTAAATTAAATTCGTTCTTTCTAAACATATTTGTCTGGAACATGTCTCATTCGTAGTGGTCGTGCCGAAATGAAATTTAGCAGGCAAGATAACGATGATGATTGAGCTGAATCTCCAACGTATTGGGCGGAATGTGTTGCTTTCAAGTCACTGAACTGCTATCACTTCAGTGTTCCGACGCTGTAGAGAACCGTGCAGGAACGAATGATCTTATACAGCACACTTTTTTCTACGAAAAACCAACAAAGAAAAATTAGAACTTGTTATTTTGAGGAAGTCATAGATCTTTTTCCCAAGTCGTGCTCAGACCCAGTTAAGTGACAGAAAAGGAATGAGAGTTTAACTTTCATGAAAATCGCTCTCGTTTGTTATTTTAACAATATTTATGAATCAAAAGATTGTTTGGTTGTGAGGATACTGCGTCAATTCGGAATAGTGAATTCAGAGCGAAGTCTCATCCAACAAGTGTAGGATTAGCATGATTCGTCACTATTTCGTCAACGACGTCGTCAGTGTCGACGTTGTGAAGGTTTACATTCGGAAGAACATGTGCGAAATTCACGTTAATATCGTTGAATCGTTCGAATAGATGAGCCTGAAGTATTGAGAATGAGAATATCACTCCAATGGAGAGCGTGAGATCAATATCTTTCATTTCGAAGTTTAAGTTTAGTCTAGTCTAAGGAGTTCTCGAAGTCTTCTTGTTCCGAATTACCTCAGTGACGGACGATGATCTGCTGTACATTTAGTTTTAGTCTCTAGAAAAGCTTCGTAGAGCAATTGTAGGGCTACTCTGAGTTGCGCTTTGTCTTCTGTCAAGTAGTTGTGATTGTAAGGCAGCAAAAAACCAAAGCACTAATTCACAGCTGTTTCCAGCTGAAGCATTCTCCAGTCACCAGAAATATCAGTGCAGGTTTTTTTTTTCAACGGAACACATTCATCACTATTTCGCTAGATATACTTTGCCCTCGTCTGTTTCAATTTAGAGGAGCACAAACGTCATTGAAACATTAGCTGCTCTATCATGTCGGTAGTTCACAAATGGGAGGTTTTGTCTGTGAAGTTAACGGGGTAGTCTTCACTTTGAGAAATCATTGCATTGCATAAACTTTTGGAAGAGTAGAAAAAATGGAATATACGTAATGTGATGGAGAATAAAGTGCTCGGCGTTGATTAATCTCTCAATACGCCAAGAAGTTGACCCTATTCGTAGTTCCCAGGATCGACTTTCTATTAAGCTTGGCGTTGGAATATGGATCAGTCGCTTTCTTATTCAGCAATCGCGACGTTGTTATACAGCATACACTTACTCCCATAGAAAAATACACAGTACAATACGTTCAGTGACTGACGTTTCGGCTGTAATCAGAACCGCTTTTTACATGACTTCCAGTGAGGAAGATTGAATTCACAGGAAGAAGACGATACTGCAGAAACATCAGTTACTGTTGTATTGTATTGTTTATTTTTCTATGGAAGTGAATGTATACTGTATAACAACCTCGTGATTTCTGAACAAGAAAGCGACGCATTTGTATTCCTATTCGTAGTGTCGTAGAGGTGCATATTTGGCCCACACAATGGCTTGCGATGGCCTCGAAATATGCCAAGTAAGTGAGTTTATCCTCCCAGACAGACAAGTCTGGTACCAATTCTCCAACGACGGAGGGATGGTAAAATTGCTTTGCCTGGGGAGTCGGATCGAACCGACGCGTAAATGTCTATTGCAGGTTATCTCAAACCACTTCTTTACGTGCTGTCGATTAAGTAGGTATGAAGATGGAAGCGAAACCTAAAGATACCCCTTTCTCTAGCGTGTTCAACTACTATCCCTTCTGAGCAAAAAGTGTCGTTGCGTGGCATGTAGACAGTAAAGTCACGCCAAGGCGATTTTATGAACATTAAACCCGATGATGGATTACGGCTCGCTTTTAAGAAAGGAGCACAGCTGTTTCGAAAGTTCTTAGCAAAAAAGCGGTGATAGTGCTTCGGACATCACACATGGCTTTTTGAAAGATTGAGTTCCATTCAGTTTCGGCATAAGTTCTGAGGATTGTATCTATTTTAGGCAATTTTTCGGCGATATCGAGATCTGTTTGCAAAGTTACTGCGATTCGAGTCCAATAGGCTCGTCTTCGACGAAGTCTGTTGATATCTTCGTATTCACAGTTATACCGAATCGAATCGAATTTAGCAGAACATTAAAGAATGAGGCATATACGAGGAGAATATAAGGGTAGTCATTTCTCTCTTGAATGAGCAACACCTGTACGTTCTTTCTGCAACTAGCGTAAGAAACAGCTTGAAGGGGGGACAGACCTGTAGTAATGGAAGATTTTCGCCGAGAATTCGTGGGAAATGAATGACCAAAGTTCATTAAGATTGCCGCTCAATCTGTTTGCTAACTGCAACCTATCGGCTGTTCATAAACGTTACACTCTCAACCAATTAGAGGACTCTGAGTGAACCTCAGCCGTCAGAGAAAATTGTGTCTTGGAGAGGATCCAGCTGTTTGAATAATGTGCAGAGTGCCTCAAAGAATTATAAGTCACATGCCTGGAATGTCTTATGCTCTCTATCTTGATTTACCAAAACCATTCGAAAGAATAAAAATGAATGCAGTAATGCTTCTGAATCACGAAGACAGCATTTCAGAGACTCCGTATGGATGAAGAGATGAAGCGTTTGATGTTGACCAATCCAACGTGTGTGCGCCATGCATGCGTCTCCATTCATAGCAGTCGCAGAGATGGTTAAATGCATATCTGGTCAACATATTGATTGTGGAATGCTACCTATACATCAATTTGCCGTTTTTATCTCAGATCCTTGGCGTGGAATCTAGCCAATAACCGTGTGCGCTGCTCGTGCATCTCGAACTGGTGTGCTAATGTGGAAAAAATGAACCCAACCTTTTAACAAATTACAATATAATCACTTATTACTTACTGTGTAATCTTTTCATGATAGAGTGTGATCTGAATAGTGAGCACAGTGATTCTGAGACAAATTCGTCGTTTTCTCGTTCAGCAATCGCGAGGTTGTTAAACAGTACACGCTTACTTCCATACAATAACACGCATACAGCATAACCGTAGCTGACGCTTCTGCAGAATCGCCTTCTTCAAAGCCTGCAAGGGTACACAAACACGCAACTTACTAGGTGAAACCCTTCAACAACACAAACAGGATGAAAATCTGTAGTATTCTAGTATAGTGTACCCTTGCGGGCTTTGAAGAAGGTGATTCTGCCGAAACGTTATCTACGGTTGTGTCGTATGTGTGTTATTGTATGGAAGTAAACATATGCTGTTTAACAACCTCGCGACAGCTGTTAATAGAAAGTCGATCCTAAAATTCTGAGACATTTGCAAAACCCCGGACCACAGGTGCATGCGGTGGGAATCGAACCTGCTATTACTCTTTCTGGAGGTTTTGCAAATATCTCAGAATCACTGTGATTGTAGAAAATTGTTTCAGGGTTCCTTCGAGATGTTGCAATACTTCAAACAAACTAAATCATGCTGCTCATTTCTAACTAGATCTCTTTCAGGGCGAGCGTGAAGTAACGAGTGTGTTAACAAAGCTAGTAGAGGATTTTGTGTTTATATAAAAAAGGAATAGAAAAAGTAAATCTCGGCAGACTCTAGATATGCGTGGAACACGAAGACAACGGTGGAGATCGTAAAGTAGCACCATAAAGGATGAAGAATAAAACGCTCGACCTTGATCAAGCCGCGAGGGAGTCGTAGAGGTGATGTCATAACTGATCAATGAAATGAAGTCAGTGGTGGTGTTTTCCCGACGGATCTAGTACCAATTCGCCTACCTTGACAGGATGGAAAGTTTGGTAAGCCCGATGTGTGGAAAACCCCCGTAGCAATGTAGTGAAAAAACCATCTAAAATCCTTCGGATATAGTCACTTTTTATTTACTTCCTGTTCCTTTCTCATGGCAAGGTTGTATTTCGCACCATACCTGTCATGAAAAAGGAATAGGCAGTAAGTAGAAAGTGATTTCATTGCGATTTATACTACAGCTTCATCTTAACTGGGTTCGATGCCGATTTATGTCCCCCAGATCAATCCCGTTGACAGGTGACTGCTGATAGCACCTACAGGTTAAAACACGGCTGAAAGAAAGACTAAACAAAGTACCTGCATGGTGTAGTGGAAAACACGTTAGCCCGGGAGAGTGATGAAGGGTTCGATCTCTACCACAGACACCTGCGGTCCGGAGTTATGTAAATGTCGCAGCATCATTTGTGTTATATTCTTCCGATATTTGCGATCCCTCTCAATGGTTTACCCATCGTGGGTTGGGAAGTGTTCCTGGATGTCGGGATACGACATCCAGCGGCAGGAGCAGACTTTGGCATGGCTGACTTCGAGACTCACTCCAGCGAACCACAATAGCTAAATCACCAGAATTCCGAAACAATGGAAATTATGCTTGGCTCCGCGAAACCAGTGAATACAGGCCATCCAATTATCCAAGTAAATTTGGGATTAATTCATAAAAGAAATAAATCAAAGAACTTATAACCGCTGGGACGAATTCCTTACGACTACATGTGAATCATTCACTACTTGAGGTTAGTTTTCCGATCCAATACCTCCGGCTCATTTCTCATTCTACGTAAACTAGCATAAAAATAGAAAGATAAAGCTCTCCGCGTTGATCAATCCCTGAGGGATACGCCATGCATTCGCGTTCATTAAGCATCGTTGGAGATGATTGAGTGTATGTCTTGCTTATACGATGAATCGCGGTGGCCTAATGTATAGAGCCAGTGCTGCTATTCTCGCGCACAAGTCTGGTACCAATTTGCCGAGCTCGGAGGGATGGAGGGCTTGGTGGGCCATGGGCACTGAGATCGATTCCATGTGTGTGTCGCAGTGGCGCCTCCAACCACTACGCCACACGCGCCCCAAACACAACACTGAAAACTAAAACTTTGCATAGGTTGTTGAAATTTCTTAAGAACTGAACTGAAGAAGGCACTGCTGAAGTGTGACTCCTAACGAAATAAACGTATTAATAGCGTAGCGTCAGCTCGTGAATACAGCAACTCAGTTAAGTATTTAAGTCTTCAACAAAATACGTTCTGCATTATTTGTCGGTAGTGGCAAAGTAAAGGACGTGAGATGGAATCACTTCCATCTCGGATTGCTTTGAACTAACCTTAAAGGGTAGTCGTTGATTCGTGCTCGGTATAGGTAGTGAGAATCGCGTATGATGAATATCTGTGAGTTCCTCATCGCGTTTCGTTAGCATCTCCTCTTGGAAATCAAACATCTACGATACAACACTCGTCAGCTAACAACACTACAGTAATTCGTTGTTTACAAAAAATCATCTCACCTCATTCAATCCAGGAAGTGGTACGTCTAAGGCTACAGCATGACTTACATATTTCGAAAAATCGAATTCGGCGCCAACAATGAACGAATTCTAGGACCGTATGAAATGATTTTGTGAAATTCTACGCTAGTTATAACCTATTTGTGCTTCACATATAATCACTTCGTTTGAGGATTTTACAGTGAAACTTGTAAACTACGGTGATTTTGAACCTGAAACGGTTGATGCATTCCGTCGGTGTACAGTTCTGGCATCTCGGCGTACTGTCGGTAGTTCTTGCGTAAATTCAATCCTAGAGCAATCTAAGAATAATTCGAAGGATTAGATGACTGCTCGATTCATAAAACAATACTCATCAGACCGGTGTATTAAATATCATAATCTCTCTTATAAGTCTTAGGTACCTCCCAACGGTTTACCGCCTCATCATGGCTGGGAGGTGTTCCTCGGTAGGGGCTACGATGTGCAGCGGGAGAAATCATCCCTAGCAGGGTCTTACAAACTGAGAAGGAATCCTGCTTTTCCATCAGCAAGTCCATCTAATAGTAAACCAATACCAGGATCCACTACCGTCGTGGTACCAAACTGGTAATATGGTGGTAAATCTCGCTCTGAACCAGAAGGTCGGTTACTGCCTGTGGTGGAACAACCTGTAGCAGACTTTGGATAGGCTGACCTCGGGACTCCAAGGAACCACAACAGCTAAACCAATAATTTCCTGGTGAATGCATACTATGCCGGGACCGACACAAGCAGTGAAGACGGACCACCCAATTATCTAAGTGTCTAAGTAAGTCTTAAATAAACTTTTCTCTAAATCAGTCCTCAATTTATAAATTTTCAGGTTGCTAAGTGTCAAGTAAGCGAAACAATTCTTACTGCATATCAGGCAAAGCAACAGTAATTTCAGGTAACTTCTATTTCGTATCGGATTCTAAGCACAGTACATCATCGGTTGGTAGGTGCACTAATCACAGAAGTCGCCACGTTTTTGGGAGAATTCTAGTCGCAAGATAGCAAATACATCTCTGAACTACTAGGCCTAGTCTATTCTGACTGTGGAGGAGACCTGAAAACTTTCTAACAAGGAGAACCTCCATCTCTGACAGTGAGCACATCGATGAAATGGAAACGCGACAAGTCCTCAAGCCGTTGCTGAGCCCATACACGAACCCGAACAGGGTCAGTTCTCCTCATATTCTGCGACTGGAATTTTATGCTTTCTTTGATGAATTTCTCCATCCTTTAGTACGTTGATAAAAAGTTGTTGGAATTTTTGTGATAAGAAAATGAAAGTTTGAACTTAGTTCCCAGGATCGACTTTTTATTAACCTCGTCATTGGAATATGAATGCGTCGTTTTCTTGTTCAACAATTTGAACTTAGTGACAGAACGGTTTTTGATTGACGATTGGATCCACACTCTACTGAGAACCATTTTAACCATCGATGGAACATAACGGATAAATTCTACGAAACCACAGAAAGATCTGCTCACCGAGAAAGTTCACTCCTTGGATACCGTAACCAGCACCCCAAGAGTCCCCAAAATCTAAATCTGCAGCCACGCCAGCCATATGCGTGAATGGATTGAGCTGTGCGTGTCCGGAGAAGTCCTTCTCCTGACCGGGTAAGGATACATCCGGAATCGTCTGCGTCTGGAATTACATTGCTACTGAGCGAAATTATCATTGGTGAAAAGAATTTGATTACCTAGCATTTTTTACTACTCAGATGCCACTACTACTATACAATAGAGAGCTCACTTCTCATTCTACGTTTTCCATGCTAAAATATTAGTTTCATTTTGATTTTTACTACTTTCTTTCAGGTCCTTTGATAACAATTTTGCTGCGTAATATCGCGGAAAGTAATCACCAAAGCTTTTCATCATAATGCCATCGTTTTTATGGTCTCTTACACCATGATAAGAGTATAGACTTGCTCCAAAACTATGCCCATTGCGGGGGGCGTACTCCAATCTCGAGTTATCATTACGCAAATAGCAAGAAACATCAGCAGGAATGTTTCCAAAATGTTATTGTCGCCTTATTTAGCTAGAGAACCCTGGTGCTAGCTAGTTGCTAAACAGCTGACTACTTTTGTTGCCCTTTGTTTGTTTTTCAAACTACAGGACTCCTATTGTGATAATATTACGATATCTTTACCCTGTGATAGAGTTTATTCCCTGCCATATAGAGATTTGGTAAATATGGTCCTGAACGATGATCAGATGTTCCGAATGGTAAACGAATCAGACCGATACCACGTGGTGGCAGAGTTTCACATACTGGAACTCTTTTATATGAGTATAATCTATGGTGAAAGGTAGAATAGTTCGTTTTTCAACCATACATAGAACCTACCGGTTGAGATAAGTACTAAACCTGTTACTAGACGAATTACGTTCCCCATTGTTTAGGAAGAAGAGTGCTAAATTTCTAGTTATGTAATGAGTTTATTATACTGAAATGATAAATATTCGATGAAAATAAAAATTTTCTTTCACATACTGTAATGCAAACACCATAGGCAAGCGGTCCAACTACAGTGTTCTGTATGTCCGTAATAGGAATGACCAGAAGATTCGACCAGTATTTACGAGTGGTGCAGTTGATATGCGGGTGAAATCGTGCTGAGGAATGTCTGTAATCTCATGGTAACAAAATACGTTCAGGATGAGAAGTGGATGATCACAATGCAATTGGTATCACACCAATCTGGGACCTTCGCTCAAACGCAACACGATAACTAAGAATGGTTGTCCTCGATCATTAGGTCCACTCAATCGACATACAAAAAATATTCAGATTTTCTACAACAACCGTAGAAATTTTCGACTTGATGTTGGTCTCCCAGAGAAGAAGTTCGGTTACTGTGTAGTTGCTATGAATATCAACTAGGTGTGCGCTGCTAGTTGCCATCGAGATAATCGGGAAGTCCCTATCTCCGTTCAAATATGATGGTTGACACTCTCTGAAGTAACGATAGTTGAATGACACACATGTATTGCTATCCATAAATTTAAAGCTTATATTCGATTTCGCTTACAACGATGATTACAGTCTTAATCGTATTCCCGTTTAATTTTAGACGACCATTCTGGTTAACTTTTACTTAAAATTGGGAAGGATAAGGTACGACGTCATCGGCCTGGCCGAGACGAGACGACGCCACACATTCAACATCATGACACTGGAGAGGAACTGTTCCTCGGAACTTGCGACAGGAGAGGAGTCGGCGGCGTCGGCATTCTCGTCAACACAAATTTGTTCATGAACATCGATTGATTTGAACAACATACAACTCGAATCGGACGTTTACAATTAAAAAGATGTGGGTCAGTACAGGCTTTGACAATCTTCGTCGTTTGCGAGCCGACATTAAACTATAGGAAGTCGAAGCGTTCTATACGGACTTTGGAGAAGCAAAGAAGACCATACATTCTTCCCAGGAGTATCCCGTGTCACGCAAGCAAGGGAAGGAATCCAAAGCTCCGATCTGCGTCAACGATCAAAAATCAGAGATGCCAGTTCGTACGCCATGCAGCCGAAGATAAGATGGGTTGGTCACGTAATGCATATCAACGACAAGCGATAGACAAGAGCCATTGGTGACTGGATTCCTCGGGATGTCAAATGCACAACAGCAAAACCGCAGACGCGATGGTCAGAGTTTTTCACGAAAAGCATAGAAGAAAGATATGATGCTCAACGAGTCCCTAGATCGAGCAGAACCCACTGGACTACTCTTGCACGAGATAGGAAAAATAGAAGATTTACTGGCGCCCCGATAGGGTCATTCGACGACCAGCGGGACTACAGGTGATACAGGTTATTCTAGTCATTTAATAAAATAGTTTTGAATACTAAAGCTATCATGCGAAGGCGACGCGAAGATGCTCTAATCCATCGATTCAAAAATCAGTGCCACACACAACTACCCGAAGGTGCAGGGAAAGCCCAGGTATTTGGAGATTTATGAGATTACATCTATCCGGAGATTCAAGGGAAGCCCTGCGGTACGCATCAAACCTCTGGCTATCCGAAGATTTAGGACAACATGGGATTTATCTACAGCGAATGCACCCAACGACACGATAATACTGTTCATTAGAGTTGCTATGTGATTAAGCAATCGAAACGATGTATGTTCTTTTCTAGGGTATGAAAAGCTTACTGATTACAAATACCGTTCAATAACACGAACAAGGTCCTCACTTGACCTCGCGCGGACAAGATTCCCATATATCCAAGGTCGGGAAATTTGTGCCAAATTTGTTTGGTAAGAACTTCCAATCCACAATTGTGGCTGACGTCCTGTGGTAGAGATATGGAATTGCCTTTGCACGGCTACCTAAGGATTCCAGTGAAAACAGATCCGATCAACGATCGAAGATGCTCATAAAAAAGACCGGAAATTCTCATGCACTAGCCGAACACATGAAAATCTGGAGATCTTCTGGATGACGGATATGAGGCTACAAAAGGAATTCAGGAAGCACGCAATATGTGATACCGTTCGTATCAAATAAAACAAGCTGTCAAAACGTGGAACTAAAAGAGTCACAACTGGCAGTGAACCTTTCGAGAGTGAACCCATCAGCGATATAATCGCTATAGGTTATAACTACGACATATGACAAAACGAGCAATTTCTTAGGGAAAGAACATGTTGAAAAATCGATAATTCACATTTTCTGAATTTACTTTGTGCTTTCAATAATTCGGATTGTTTTCTGCAAGTGTCTTGAACATTTTCATCTTTTTTAGTTTTTTAGAATATAAACGATGCGTTAGACTTCGTATCCAACGACCTCTGCTCAGAACACCAGCTCAGTCTACATCATATAACAGCAAAAGCGCCTGTGAATGTGGATAGAGCTTGGGAATATGGTAGAGTAACCGGATAAATAGTGCAAAAATTATTTCAGAATCTTGAAGTACAAGGTATCCACAGGGGATAACAAAAAAGCCCGACTGAACTACATCTATGGAGCATGGGATTTTAAAAATCCTAGAAAATGATCCGTTTAAAGTTGTCATAGTATTACTTTTCTTCACTTTCATTTTTTATACAATCCGTCTTTCAAATCTTCTCTGCGTATCCCAGCACTTCTCACATTCACGTCGTTCCCTCGCATCTATAACCCACGAAGATCTTACAACTTTTACACGCGGTCTCGGTTGCTGTTTCAAGATTTCCCTTCATCTTGGCTGACCTCGAATGCTGGTCGAGTCGATTCTCACTGGAGTCCTGAGATAGCCGAGCTAGACAGTTCTCATTTGAATTGCAGCGAATGATTTTTTGCTCGACAAGTCCGCTACCAATTTACCAAATCCTGAGAAAGGACAGTTTTAATATAGCCCGGAGCAGGATCGAACCAGCACCGTGCTCATGGTGACCGGCTCCGCTGACAGTATCATATCCGCCCCTTGAGCTATGTTTAAACAGGAAGAATTAAAATTTTCCAAGAAACATAACAAAGGACGAATAAGAAAACGAGATATTGATTTGAATTGACCATCAGTCTTACTGCCCACGGTAACAGGTTGCCAATCAGAAAAGAAAAACAACAAGGTTCGTGAAAAGTCGAACAGTAATCTACAAGTTTTTTAATCAAAAAGTATTCGTACACGTGGTGCGTGCTCTAACCACGAGCTGGGGAAAGCGAAATTTAGCCAAATTTAGCCAGAATGTAGAGAAGTTCACCAAGTCGAATGAATTCACGTGTGACAAAATTGATAACCGTCAATATATCCCTATAGATATTGACAATCAATTTCCCGAACAATTGATACAGACACAATCGTTCCGCTGACCAGCACCGGATGAATCGTGCAATAACCGATTCGGATGCGCCGAAGAAGTTCTCAACGAGCGACCAGAAATCATCGTTTTTACCAGGATTGGATAATTTTTGTGGGATACCTATAACACTATAGATAGAATACAAAAGAATAAAGCTCACAACTTTGATCAATCCGTAAGGGATGCGCCATGTAATCGACTCATCGTCAGAGGTGACTGAATGCATATCTGGCTTATACAGTGAGTCGCGGTGGCCTACCGATGTATCGAGTCAGTGCTAACAAACAGTTTTGGTACCAATTTGCAGAACCCGGAGGGATGGAAGGCTTGGTGAGCCATCGGCGCGGGGTCGATCCCAAGTGTATCGCAAGACACCTCCAACCACGGTGCTACACGCTCCCATGTAACACCATGACAGAACGAAAACTGATTCTAGTTCTGTACCGCTTGACGAATGGGAGATTAGCTGAAGGTTCTTGGAGGATGAACTCCGACGTGCAGCTGGAATTTTGAACTCCAACTAGATTTTCCGAACTTTGAAGGAATCCAAGTAAACAGTTGAAGTACAAAGTAGCTCAGCGAATTTCTACAATTCATTACTAAAAATGCGCTTAGGTGTGGTTTCTGTCGTATTGAGGTGTTTCTTCATGAAGAGTGCTGCTTTGGTTCAATGTTAGAAATCGCTTCTACGCAGATGTCCATAAATTCCCTCTTGTTAAACTAACTCTTTGACACACTTTTCCGTCCCTGCAGTAATCATTATGTGAACCACTCCGCTTGATAATCGATACTTATCTTTCGCATTAGACAATATTGATAGTTGACTGATTTACCTTACAAACATGGCAAGTTTTTTATTGACTTCTATCTTCCGAAGAAAAAAGCCCACTTTTTTAAACAGGTAGTGGTGTGCTTCCAGTACCGTCTTCATTTCTACTGTTTCGATTCCAGCACTTCTCACATCCGATTCGTATCCTCGCATCCATTGTCCACGAGGATCTTCCAAATTTTACGTGTGGCTTCGGCTGCTACTTGAGGATTTTCATCTCATCTTGAATGTCTTAGAATGCTTGTCGAGCAATCCTCCCTGGATTACTGAACTAGCGAGGATGCAGCGTTCTCAGTTAGATTGCAGAAAATGATTTTTTTCCAGACAAATCCGGTACCAATTAGCCGATTCCGGAGGGATGAGGGGCTTGACTGGCCCGGGGTGGAATCGAGCTAGTTCCACGCTCGTGACGAAGGACATCCCTACCACTGTGCTATTCGCGCCTGCATCTACTACTCCAACTCATGAATCCAAATACATTGATGTTTACATGCTCCATCATCATTCAGTGCAAACCCTAATACTTTTCCATTCGTTTCGCTGTTTTGAAACAGCCATCCAAGAAAGTGAGGATTCGTATGTAGGTTCGGCTTAAGCTATGTGATTTGCATTTTTCTAACCTCAGTGAAAAAGTGGATGCTGATCAAGCATAATTCTCCTTGAAATCCTGAGACAACCACACTAGGGCTTCTCTGGTTTTCACCATAGGTATACTCCGGCCACTGGGCTTACGTTGCAATAAGGATTATTCAAATACGCTAAAGATTCCTACAATTAGTTAACCGACCGAGTCATACATGTCGAAGCGGCACCTCTAAAAACGTTCCATTTCCGTCATGATATTTCAAAACCCACGTAAGATCTCACTTATAGTCAAGTTCGAAAAAAGT